CCAGGGCTGGGCGTGTGTGTTTGTAGGTGGGGGCAGAGAGGGAGATGGCCGCGTGGCCATGGCTCCGTCCCCTCCCTCCATACTCTCTGTGCTTTGGGCAGGTGTGCAAGCTGAGGGAGGAGAAGGAGCAGAGCATGGGTCAGGTGCAGGAGCTGGAGACCAGCTTGGCCGAACTGAGGAATCAGATAGGTAAGCTGAGGCTGGTGACCTGGGAGCAGGACTCCTGTCGGGGAGCTGGAGAGGCTGGCTGGAAAGCCCCCGAGGAGGGAGGCAGATGGAAGGACATTGTGCACAGGGGAAGCGGTGTATAGGAGCTGCCGAGTCTTGCAGTCTCTCTGAGCCTCAGTGTTTCCATCTGAAAAAAGGGGTGGAGTGCCCACTGTCAGCCCAGAGTTGTCTTGAGCATGAAAATGTAGAGAACTCTACTCAAGTGTCTTGAAAGATTGAACATCATAGGAGTGGGGATTACTAGCAGGAAGCCAAGATTTGGGGTGAGGAACCTGAATTAGCTGTGGACCCAGAGGCGAGAGGCCTTATTGTCTGCTTGCCTCCTCAGCTGCCCCCCCACCCCAGGAGCCCCCGGCAGGGCCCTCGGAGGAAGAACAGCGGCTACAAGCCAAAGCGAGGACAATGAGAGTTTGAGCCGCCTGAATCAGGAGCAGGGGCAGCGACTGCTGGAGCTGGAGCAGGAGGCCGAGCGCTGGGGCGAGCAGGCGGAGATGCGCAAGCAGATTCTGGAGGACATGCAGAGCGACCGCACCACCATCAGCCGTGCGCTCTCCCAGAACCGCGAGCTCAAGGAGCAGCTGGCCGAGCTGCAGGACAGCTTCGTCAGGCTGGTGCGCAGCCCTGCCTGCCCAGCCTGCCCCCTCCCTTGCCGAGTCCTTTCCTGCTGGGCAAGACACTCAACCCCTCTGGGCCTTTGTTGTCCCACCTTTAAAATGGGGTGGTAGGGTCCTTACGTGAATTGGAGCCTATGAAGGCATCCTGTGACCCAGGGAGCCCGTGTGGATGAATGTGGGGAAGGGAGGAGTTGGGGGTTCCCTCCCTGCTTCTACCCTCTTCTGAGCTGGGTGGGGAGGGGGGGTGGACCTCAAATTCTGGTGTCTCCAGCTGCATTGGGTGGCCACAGATTGCTTCTCTCTGCCCAGACCAACGAGAATATGGAGATCACCAGCACGCTTCAGACGGAGCAGTACGTCAAGAAGGAGCTGGCCAAGAAGCTGGGCCAGCTGCAGGAGAAGCTGGGGGAGCTGAAGGAGACGGTAACGCTGCCCCAGCTGAGAAGGGCTCAGAGCCGGGCACTGGCCTCTGGGGCGGGAGGCATTGGGCAAGGATGAGCTGGGTGCTGGGGCCAGAACTGAGGCAGCTCCAGCCTGGAGAGACAGGCGGTCCCAGAGTTCCTCAGAGCCCTGCCCCCTGCCTTCTGACCTGTACAGGTGCGTAGCCCTGTGCTGTAGGTCATCATCTCCAGTGGAGGCATGGAGCTCGCTTAGAGGGGAAGAGACGTGGTATATGGTGGGTGGCTCTTTGCAGTCAGCCCTGGCTTCTAACCTCAGCCCCACTAGTCCCTATTCATGTCACATCTCTAAGCTCAGTTTCCTTAACGTTAAAGGGAGATTAGCACTTTCCTCATGGGGGTCTGAGAATTAAACGAGAATCCTGCATGGAAAGTATCAGGCCTTTAGTGTGCAGCTTAGCAGATACTGGTTGGCGCTCTGTGCTTTTCCACGAGCCTGTGGTCTACAGTGAAAATAGAAAGCAGGTTGTTATGAGGTATGAGCCTGGGTGAAGGCGGCATGGGACTCTGGACAAGGGAGGCAGTCACTGAGCCCTGGAGGGAGGAAGCCAGGGGCCTGGGCAGAGGCCTGGGCAGGAGGTCTGTGCCGATCTCAGAAGCAAGCCACCACTTGCCCTCACACCCAGGGTCTTCCCGCAGGTGGAGCTGAAGAGCCAAGAGGCCCAGGGTCTGCAGCAGCAGCGGGACCAGTACCTGAGCTACCTGCAGCAGTACGTGGCCGCCTACCAGCAGCTGGCCACGGACAAGGAGTCCCTGCAGCAGCAGGTCCTGGTGCACTCCCAGCTCATGGAGCAGCAGCAGCAAGAGGAAGTTCAGAGCCAGGAGGAGGCCAAGAAGGCCCGCCAAGAGTTGCAGGAGACCCAGGTGCGGGAGTTGGAGTGCTGGGCCCCTCAGCCCTGAGTGGGAAGGCCTGCAACTTGTGTCCCTTCTCACGCTCTTTCCTGGCCCCTTAGGGGCTCCTGGAAGCTGTCAGCCAACAGAACCAGCAGCTACAGGCCCAGCTGAGCCTCATGGCTCTGCCTGGGGAAGGTAATCCGAACCACCCAGAGGGAGAAGCCAGAGCCCGGGGGGGAGGGGACTTTTAGCAGCAAAGCACTGAGTTAGAAGAGACCTTTGGGACAGCGGGGCAGAGCTGGTCCCGAGCTACCTTCTTGGGCTGCTCCACCTCCCTTGGGGTTGTCTGAGGCCCCTTTGGCTGCCCCTAACAGGCGATGGACTGGATGGAGAGGAGATGGAGGAGGCGGCTCCGCGGCCAGAGCTGAGCATCCCGGAGGACCTAGGTAGCCGAGAGGCCATGGTGAGCTGACCTCCCTGCCCTTTCCTGTCCCACCTTCCTGCCTCCCTCTGAGGTCCCTCCCGGACACCCTTGTCACCTCTTGGTTTCTGCCCTCTAACTTCTCTTGATTCCCAACCTCCCCTGGGAGCCAGTGGTCAGACACCACCCCATCCCTGAACCACAGAGGCCCTGTGATGGGACAGTCCTCTCTGCCTCTGTGCCTCCCGCTAGTCCTGAGCATTCCCCCGCAAAAGCACACACGCACCTCTTGCCCGCAGGTGGAATTTTTTAACACGGCCTTAGCCAGTGCTGAGGAAGAACGGGCACAGCTGCGCAGGGAGCTGAAGCAGCAAAAGCTACACTGCCGGCACCTGGCGCAGCTGGCCGCCCCATCCCAGCACAAGCTAGCGGCGGAGACCCCAGCCCCGAGCCCCGAGGGGGACAGTGTGCCTGCGGACACCCACCAGGCCCTCCAGGTGGCCATGGACCAGCTGCAGGTGAGCGAGTGTCCCCTGGCCAGGGCCAGGGAGGGTGGGGACGGGCGGGGCAGGCGGCTGCTGGGCCCTGACCCTGCTTTGTGGCTGCAGAGCCGCTTTACGGAGGTCATGCAAGAGAACGTGGATCTGAAGGAGCGAGTTGAGGAGCTGGAGCATCGCTGCATTCAACTGTCTGGAGAAACAGACACTATTGGTGAGCGGGGAGGCCAGGGCCCGGCAGGGGGCGCCGTGTGGTGGGCGGGGACCCCCAGCAGCTGAGCCCTCCCGCTCTTCGCAGGAGACTACATCACCCTGTATCAGAACCAGAGGGCAGTACTGAAGGAGCGCCACCGGGAGAAGGAGGAGTACATAAGCCGGCTGGCTAAGGACAAGGAGGAAATGAAGGTAGGGCCCTGACCACCTCTGTGGGCGGGGCCAGGCCGGGTGTGGCTGCTGAGTGCCTCTCTCTCCAGGTGAAGCTACTGGAGCTGCAGGAGCTGGTGGTGCGCCTGGTTGGTGAGCGTAATGAATGGTATGGCAGGTTCCTGGGGGCTGCCCAGAACCCTGCTGGGGAGCCCACGACAGCGCCCCCAGTCCCCCAGGCAACTGGAGCTGCTCATAGCCAAGGTGGTGAGTAGAGCTCGGAGAGGGTGAGTGGGCAGGTGTGGGGGTGGAGCTCTCACAACACTCAGAGCCCTGCCCTTCTCAAAAGATCTTCACGAGGTGAGCCTTGCGGACGGTGTGGAGCCGGGCCCTGCTGCACTTGAGAACTCCACCGCACAGCAGATCATGCAGCTGCTGTGTGAGCTGCAGAGCCCACAGGAGTACCCAGGCTTGAGCAGAAACCCCTGCATCCCCTTCTTCTACCGGGCCGATAACGATGCTGGCGTGAAGATCATGGTGATCTAGTAACTTGACACAACCCCCGAAGAATTATAATAGGGGCGGCAGAGATGGGGTGCAGGGACTGTGTGGAAAGAGCCCACCCAGTCCCTGCACCCCATCCCTGGCTCCTATTACTATTATAATGCAAGAATAAACTTATTTATTGATAACATATGACAGAGGAAGGTGGGGATGGGGTTGATTCGACTCTATTTGTTTTATTTCGGAATAAATGGATTTAGCCATACTGCCTTGTGTGTTTATTTTTAAAATATGTTCTTACTGATTTCAGAGAGAGGAAGGGAGAGGGAGAGAGAAACATCAATGAGAGGAAAACACTGATCGACTGCCTCCTACATGCCCCACACTGGGCATGGAGCCCACACCTGGGCCTGACCAGGAACCGAACCATGACCTGGTTCATAAGTCAACACTCAAATCACTGAGCCACGCCAGCCAGGTGCCTTGTGTGTTTCTGTTTCCGGTCACTGGGTCTTGGGTTCTGTGCCTGGGTACCGAACAGGAAGTGGGGCCTGCTAGCAGAGGGCAGGCTTCTGCGTTGTGTGGAGCCCCAGGGTGCCTGAGCATGTCCAGTGGGGATGCTAGAGATCTGGACCTGTCACATGCTGCTTGGTGAAGCCTGGGGGACCCCCGGGGTCAGCCACAGGGCTCTAAGGGGCCTGAATGGCTGCCAGACTCAGAAGACTGATCTAACCCCGAGGAGGGAACGCAGCTTCCCAGCACCCGAGAGAGCCGACTTCCAGGCCAGCTGCTTTCCAACCCATGACCCTGCCCTCCCGTGACCTGTTTGCTCAGTCGGCCCACACCCCACATCCGCCCTCCAGGCTGGTGGTGCTCCTGCCCCCTAGTGGTCAGAGCAGGATTCACAGGATGAGGACCTGTGAATATCCAGGTGCTTTCCCAGTAGCCGTGGAACCGTGGGGCCTGGTTTTTATCATTCCTGACAGCACCCTAGCAATGGCTGGGTCCTTCCCCCACCCCCGCACCCCAATGTTAAACCTTCACCTCTCTCAGTGCCACAAACACAAGCCAGCCGAGGACACACTTTTCCCCATTGTCCAGAAATGGGTTTTATTTATTCTCAGCCAAGAGACAGTAAGACTGGTAGCAGTCAGAGAACCACGCAGCTGCCAATACAGCACCCCTGCGCAGGAGGAGGGAGGGGTGGGCTGGCAGCAGAGGGGGCTGGCTGTCACAGGCTGGGTGGGCATGACAGGGAAGCTCATCGGAGGTGGCACGCTTTGGAGGAGGATGTCAGGGTGACTGTGTTCCCTTATAGTTGGGTCACAAGACTCCTCAAGGACAGCACGGTAATTCCCAGCACTAGAGGTGAGACTGGCAGCCATGTCTGTGTGCATGTATATATATATATGTATAATATATGGTTATTTATAGTTATTTATAGAACGGAGCAGGAGAAATACCACAGAGGGGCACAAGTTTCACCAACGTCACGCTGGGTGTGTCAGCTCACCACTACAGACTAAGTCACAGATGAAGGGGGAGGCTTTGGGGCTGGGGAGCCACTGTCAAGTCACAGAACAGCCGTCCAGGAAGGCTTGGAAAGAGAAGTCTCCGAGGAATAGAGGGATCTGGTTAGAGGTCGAAGGGGGGCCTGGGGCTCTCAGGACGGGATGGACTTGCCTGACCCGATCGGCTGGCAGTTGGAGAGGAAACAGAGAACAGGAGAGAGGAGGGAGAGAGCTGGTAAGGCAAGGGCAGCGGAGCCCGCAGGCGTGTGAGGGGAGGGCAGGGGAAGAAGACGCAGGCGAAGGTGTGGGCAAGGATTCTGGAAGAGAGGGGAGAGACAAGAAAGGGAAGGTGGAAGGGAGGAGCTGGAGATGGGCGGGGCCAGAGCTTTGTGGGGTCTGGGCTGGAGGCTGGGGTGGCCCTCCCCCGCCACGCACGCTGGTCTCTCACACACCACCAGGCAGTGCACCCATAGCTCCAGACACATGCTCAGCCCCCTCTGGCTTCCTTCTGTGGTTCCCTATCCTCAACCCACTGGCCCAGGCCGCCACTAGTCTCAGGGAGGATGGGGCTCTGAGCCCCAGGCAACAGCCACCAGGCCTGATGGAAAAGACAGGAGGAAGAACACTGTTTCAACCAGGAGGGCAAAGCTAAAAGGATGGCTGGAGGGAGCCCTGGAGGCCTCTCTGGGTGGGCAGAAAGCTCGGGAGTCCTCGGAAGGGACCCTGGGGAGTGGAGGGCAGGCAGCTGGATGCCAGTGGCCACAGGCTTATAAGTCTAAGAGGGGAGCCTCAGGTGGTCGGGGGACCGCAGGTCGCGTAGGTGAGGCTGGGCCCTTCCTGCTGGGGAAAAGCAGAAGAATGAGAGTCAGCGGCAGGGACGGAGTGGCAGGCGGGTTCGCTGGGCGAGTTCTGCGGCCCAGCCAGGATGGAACCCAGAGAGGCTGGCCTGCCCAGGTCAGCAGACACTGCCGTCCCCCTGGCTGGAAAGTGTGGGCCGCCTCTAGGAGCAACAGGCCCAGGTCTGTGAGCCCTGGGGCTGAGAACGCTGCCTTCAGTCGTGCACTCCCAGGCGTGACAACACCAAGGAGGCGGGGGAAGGGGCTGCGGGACCTGCCTCGCCTGTGAGGTGTGTTCTGGGCTGATGGTGTGGATAGGACCCCCGAGGCTTTCAGAAATTATCCACCAACCAGAGCCTTCTCCCCAGATCACTGCACAGTAGAGGTGGGACTCTGCCCTCTGGTGGATTCGGGTCCTATTGCTCCGAGCTGCGAGCTGGCCGTCTGGCCCCAGCAGCATGGCTGACTGGGGAGCTGGGGAGCGAGTATGGCCCCCCAGGGTGAGGTTCCAAGGCTGCCGGAGCCCAAGCTTCCTGCCCCTACACCCTAAGCCACGAGCTCTCTGCCCTCTGGCCGCGCTGGAGAACACCCATGTCTGCCAGCTCGGGTGCGGAGCCTGTCCCAAGGCCCCCCAGGCTCAGCCACGGAGATCCTGGGCAGTGGCACTGAGTCCCGAGGCTCGCTGAGAAGGGAGGTGAGAGAGCAGCTGGCAGTGAGGACAGAAGGAGGAAAGAATAAGTCTGGAGTTGCAGAAGGGAGAGGGCGGGAGCCGGGCCCTGCAGTCCTAGGTGTGCCCCCCGTGTGGAGCTGGTGCAGCAGGGGCAGACACACCACTCATGCAGCAGGCCAAGAGGCATGTACCTACCGTGGCTGACGCTCCTCAGGGGTCACTGATAGTGATTCTGAAAGACAGCACGAAATCAACATGGCAGTTCACACGCACGGACAGGGCAGGCCTGGGGGTGGCGGACACGCTCACACACACGCACGGGCGTGCACACAATGCTGTGAGGCCCCACAGCCCCGCATGCACACGCTGACACACATGCCCACAAACAACACGCATCCGCCTCTCCCACCTCCCACTGCCCAGCACCCGCGCTGGCTGGCACGTGCAGCATGGATCCGGGGCATGCAGCCACTTGGCACACTGAAGCACGCGGGGGGGCCGAGTCACAACACAGAAGCTCGCCCGCATACAGGAGGCATGTGCACCAGCTCCCTGCACACTCATGCCTGGCGTGCTCAGAGGGCCGTCTGCAATGCTCCATAGGAACAGGTTTTGCTTTCTGAGGATCCAGTTGTCATTTCTCTGCCCAAGAGCCTTCCATGGCTCCCTGTTGCCCACCGTGTTGAGTCCTAACGAGTCCAACTTTTCTGTGGACTCTGAGGGTTCTTCAAGCTGCCCCGTTGTGCCTAGGGCAACCTTTGCTTATTCTTCCTCATTCTATCTGCACTCTGCTCCGGCCAGCGGCTCTCCTCAAGGCACCCCACACCAAGCCTTCGCCCACACTGCCGCTCCCTACCCAAATGCCTCCCAACCCTGACGACCCGAGTCTTAGCTCAGTCAGCACCGGGACCTCACTGAGGTCAAGCTGCCCTGAGACGCCCTGAGACTGCTCTCGTCCCTCAGGCAGTGCCGTGATCTGCCAAATGTTTCCTGCGTGTTAGCAAAACGGGAGCTAGAACGGGTACCAAATCTTCAAGTTCCCGTATGTCAGACCTCAGCACAGACCTGGGCATGTCAAATACCCTGAAGAATCTGAACTCACGTTGGAAGTTAGCCAAGTGCTCGTAGAGCCACCTTTGTGGTTCAGGAGGCATTCCTCTAGCCACTGTCTCCCTTGAGCCCACACCAACCCTGGGGAAAAGGCAGAATGTTAATTATCACTTGGTCGAAGGGAGACTGAGGCCTGGGAAGGGAAAACGACTTGCCCACAGGCCAGAGTGATCAGTGCCGTGCTGCCTGCTCTGACCACAGGTCACCATAGAGCAAGCCTCGTCGCTGCTGCATTTCGGGCTCAGGAAGGCTGGACCCCTGACCCTACCCTCCAGCCATCCGGAAACATGAATAGACGCTGTTGGTCTGACGTGTGCTTCCTCAGACAACATGTCCAGTGGGAACAGGGCAGACTGTTAGATATCAGAGTGAGCTTCCCTAAGAGAGGGTCATGGATCGAGAAGCAAAGCCAAGGGATGAAGTAGAATCCTTTTCCCTGAAAACCTCTGGGAAAGGGCCAGCCTTCACCCACTCCTGTCCCACACTCGCCATGTTGGCCCAGGACAGGCAGGGCCAGAGGCAGGGGAAAGGAAGAAAGCATCAGATTGTCCTATGGCTCCCAGGCCCTTTCCCAGCTGCTCCATGTCCTACCCCTGGCCTGGGTGCCATTCTCACACTCTCACACCTGTGTGCACGCCCACACACACATCACACACCTCGCTGGTCACAGTCACAGCCTGTGAGTCAGAGGCGGGACACCCTCCTGGGACAGCTCAAAAGAGTCAGGACTGGGCGGTGGGGACAGCAGGGTAGCCCTGCGTAAGTGAACAACATCCACACATTCCAGGACGTCCTGGGTTCAGATCCTCAGACCTGAGGCAGGCTCACTAGGGACTGGGTGAGAGAAGTGGAGGACAAATGGAGAAGGGGAGGAAGGAGGAATGCAATATGTGACAGATAAAGTGGAAAAGGAGGGAAGCGCCATGCAAGTGCTGGAAAGAAGGGGGCAGGTGGGAGGAGCCCCACCGCCCCCTCCCCAGAAACGACCACCTCCGGGACTCAGCGCTCCCTAGGGGGCAGGCTCCGCCAGCCCTCGGCCGGGCCACACCTCCGGGCTCTGGCACCCTCGAGGGCGGGCTCTGGCGGCCAGGGCGGACGCTGCAGAATCCAGCCACATCTCCCTCCCGGCCACGCCCGCCCGGCGGTCTCTTCCGCGGCTTTCAACCCCTACTCACCTGGGGACCCCGGGCGGGGCACGGTTGGGGCGCGAGGGCACCTGGGGGGGAGGAC